AGAGAGAGAGACAGCGTGAGCAGGGGAGGGTCAGAGAGAGAGGGAGTCACAGACTGAAACAGGCTCCAGGCTCTGAGCTGGCAGTCAGCACAGAGCCCGATGCGGGGCTCGAACCCACGAACCGCGAGATCATGACCTAAGCGAAAGTCGGACGCTTAACCGACTAAGCCACCCAGGCGCCCCTTGTCTGGCTTTCTGTGTCTATTCCTTTGGCATATCTATTTTTTTAAGTTTATTTATTTTTGAGAGAGAGACAGAATGTGAGCAGGAGAGGGGCAGAGAGAGCTGAAGACAGAGAAACCGAAGCAGGATCCAGGCTCTGAGCTGTCAGCACAGAACCCGACGTGGGGCTTGAACCCACAAGCCATGAGATCACTATCTGAGCCGAAGTCGGACGCTTAACCAACTGAGCCACCCAGGCGCCCAGTGGCATATCTGTGGCCACTTTCATAATGACCTATGGTCACTTTCACATTTACAATGTTCAGTGGGGACAGAAAATCACACGCATCTCCACCACACAGGGCTTGGGCACTTAGAAATGCCTGATGTGCCCAAGATAGAAGGCACAGCATTAAACTAAGTTTGTTATTCTCTTTGGGCTAAACATCATCACTATCCCCTAAAAATGGGAATACTGAGTCGGATGTGATTGCACAGAGAGGAGAGAATGCAGAAACCTGCATCATTCTCCTGGGGCCCCGATCATAGGACGCAGCTTTGGGTAAGGGGGGAAAACCATTAAATGACTACCAGATTGCCAGTTCACGGGTACTTATCACAAAGGGGCTAGTGGAGTGTCCGGGAAGTTCATCATCTATGGAAAACCATGTCCACATGTGTGTTGGGCATCTTCCTGGGCCACCTGCAACCCAGGGCAGACAAGCCTGGAGTTATGGCCGGCCCCACCCCCATTCGGGGGCTGTATTAGTCAAGATTCTCCAGAGGAACAGAAATAATAGGATGTATATACAGAAAGAAAGAGATTTATTATAAGGAATTGGCTGACAAATCTCAAGATTTGCAGTTGGCAAACTGGAGACCTAAGAGATAATGGCATGGTTCCAGTGCAAAGCCCAGTAGATCTGAGACCTAGAAGAGTCAGTTTCACTTCCTTCGGGGCAGGAAGAAAGAAAACATGTCTCAGCTCAGTGGCAGTCAGGTAGGAAGAGTTCCCTCTTACACTTGGGAAGTAAATCTTTTTCATTCTAGTCAAGTCTTCAACTGATTCGATGAGGCCCACCTACATCCGCTTTACTGAGTCATCCTCTTCAAATGTTGATCTCATCCAAAAACACTCTTAGAGACTCACCCAAAATAATATTTGACCAAATCTCTGTGCACTCCATGGCCCTAAATGAAACATAAACTTAACCATCACAGGGACCAAGCACCAGGAAACAGGGTGGAGGTATTTGCTTCACATTCATCTCTCACAAAGACCCCTGGACAGGTTTCCTGAGGGACATGCCCTCCTGCATTCACCCATGGCTGTGACTGCCTGATTCATGGAACACAGGAGGGATAGTTCATGAACAGGAGTCATAATGAGTGACAACAGATGATACAAGGACAGCGGAGGTCAGCAGTCAGATGAGAAGAAAGCAAAAGACAGAAACACACCAAGTGGATGGAAGGACCAGAATGAAGAAAAAGGAAAGAAGCAGAAGGGGATGGATATATCGAACAACTGCCCTCCAGGGTTCCCTGAGCCCAACATGCCCACCCTGACTTGATCAAATGGATGCAAAGCAGTTCACTTATTTTCAGAGAGCTCCCAAGAAGAAAGGACAGGGTCGCTGTGTCATCCCCAATACTAGAATGTTGCAACCAGCAGCCAGAAGTGATTGAATTCCAACCATCTGCCAGATTGGGCTGCATCTTCACATCCAGCATCTCACCTGACCGTCACTGCAGCCTTGTAGGGTAGGTGTTCGTAGTGCCCGCATCTTACAGAAGGGCTACCATGTCCAGGCACGTGTGGAGAGCGAGCTGCGAGGCACAGTGAGATCCCAGTGCCCTGCCCTGCAACCGTGACAGCGCTCCAAGAAGTTAAAGGACTTACTTGAAGCTATCCAGTCGGGGAGCACCTGGGTGGCTCCGTAGCTTCAGTGTCTGACTCTTGAGTTTGGCTCAGGTCATGATCTCACGGTTTTGTGAGTTCGAGCCCCACACTGGAGAGTGAGGAACCTGCTGGGCTTCTCTCTCCCTTTCTCTCTCTGTGCCTCCCCTGCTTCCCCCTCTCGAAATAAATAAACGAAAGAAAGAAAGATAGAAAATACCCAGTGGGATCAGCTGGAAGCAGAGACCGGTCTGTTAGCGCCTCCAGGCTGCCCTGTCCTGGCGCCAGGCTGTTCCATTACCCGCTCCAGCCTGTGCAGAAGCCAAAGCAGGGCGGGAACAGAGCATGGGCAGACAGGGCAGTGCTGCAGGCCTGAGTCCTAGATGTGCCAGACGGCTTCTCCCAGTGGACATGAGTCATTCTTTCTCCCGCTCCACATCTGAGCCCCCCTCCCTGTGTTACAGGTATCCCCTAGCTTTGAGACAGAAACTGCCTCCCATGAAAGAGGCTGAAAACGCCCCTTTCTGCCTCCCTTTCCCGGCCTTCATTGCCAGTAGGGCCTGGGCACATAACATGGCCCCTCCCCTCAGACCCACATGCCTGACTCAGAAGGAAAGCTGCCGGTGTGAGGAAGCCCCCTCAGCCATTGATGGTGGAGTGGCAGCAGCCACATCCAGCTTTCAAGGGTGGTGGCACCTGTGACCCATGTTGGTGGCACTGACTGTGGCATCTGCGCTCGGCAGGAAGCAGTGAGGTATTTTCCAGACATGATGCTCTGACCTCTCCAAGAACTCCTGGGAACAAACCAGTATCTTCGGCAAACTCCATTTCTGCTTTAAGTTGCCAGAATCGGTTTCTGTTGCTTAAAAAAAAACTTGATTGATACAAAATAGGACTAGGTGTGGAGGCAGCTAAGAGCCCAGGGTGAAACGGAGTGCTCTAAAGCTGGAATGTGGCCAGAGGACAGTGAAAATCCAGCTAGTGTTAAGGGACGGGATACCAGGAGTGCATGGGATGTCGTGGTGAGACGGTTAATCCTGTGGTCCCCCACAACAAAGTGCCCCTCAAAGGCAGGGCTTTGGGGACCTGGCGGCTCCTGACATAGAAGAATATTAAGATTACCCTGAGGTCAAGGGCTGTTGGCCAGAGGGTTGTACTAATGGCACTGCACAGCTTAAAATTTTTTTAATGTTTTATTTATTTCTAGGAGAGAGAGAGAGAGAGACAACGTGAGCAGGGGAGGGTCAGAGAGAGAGGGAGTCACAGACTGAAACAGGCTCCAGGCTCTGAGCTGGCAGTCAGCACAGAGCCCGACGCGGGGCTCAAACCCACGAACCGCGAGATCATGACCTAAGCGAAAGTCGGACGCTTAACCGACTAAGCCACCCAGGCGCCCCGGCACCGCACAGCTTAAAGGAAAGAAAGACAATCTCAGAGTCTGAATTCTCTGCTCAAGTCGTGGTTAGAAAACCCAAGGAATTTTTTTTATTTAAAAAATTTAAAAAAAATTTTTTTTTAATGTTTATCTATTTTTGAGAGAAAAAGATCAAGTGTGAGAGGGGCAGGGGCAGAGAGAGAGTGAGACACAGAATCCAAAGCAGGCTCCAGGCTCTGAGCTGTCGTCAGCACCGACGTGGGGCTCGAACCCACAAACTGTGAGATCATGACCTGAGCCAAAGTCACATGCTTAACTGACTGAGCAACCCAGGCACCCCAAAACCAGGGAATTTTTATATCTTGCAGTTATAAGACTGAGAGAGTAAAAAACACCACTACCACCAATCTTACAGCTTGATCAGTGGCTATATAACACTGTCAGCTGGCCTCACACCCTTGCTAGGTCTCTAGCTGGGAAAGAATGGAGAGTGGAGGGCAGAGGCCATCAGAATGGGGCTCTTTGGGAAGGTGGAGGACTTAGGTACCTCCCACTCCAGGGAGCCTCGCTTGCTGGCAGAAGCTACCTCCTGGTTATACTGAACAAACTAGAAGCAGAAACTTGCTGGCTGTTTGCCAAACCCATACCCCTCCCTGCGCACACATCTGGGTGGAGTCTCCGGCCTCCCCTGCAGTTAGGGTGCTACATGGCTGAGGGGCAGCCAGTGCACATGTGCAACCATGGCCAGCAGCTGGCCTTCCCTAAAATAATACACCCCTAATGACCTTGCCATGAAGGAGTCCCCTCACGTGCCCAACTCCACCACCTCTCATTTTCTCCAGACTGAAATTCCAAGTCAGACCTTTTCAGGTCCTAGGCAACCAATGGCTTCAAATCTCAAAAGGGGATATGGAATCACCAAAAGAACCACGAGAATTTGATAATTTACATTGGCAGAAACCGGACAAAGTGACGGGGAATGGATTCTGAGGGTTGAGGACTGGGGGAGGAAGCAAACAGTGTGAGATGAGATTGAACATATAGATACTTAGGATTCTGTGGGGCTAGTGTGAGTAGGGGGGATGCTTCTCACTGTTTGCCCTGAAGGTTGCTTGAAACCTGGACTTAATTGTGGCCAAACAACGTTAGCTGATAGCAAAGAAGAAAAACGAGCCTATGACTTTCTGAGTTTACTAACCACCAGGCACAGTTTCAAGCAACTCATTTCATAGATTTATTTAGTTAACAAGTGAGATTTGATGATGTACTGTTGATGAAGGAATCGAAAAAATTTGGGCCATGAGCTCAGCTAAGCTGACATTCGTCCCTGTTTACTTGTCTCAGGCTCTGTCCCAAACACCTTAATGTACCAACTCAGTTTATTATCCCCACAGAAGAAGAACATAAGGCAGAGAGATGTTTTAGGGTGACCAAGTGTCCCGGATTGCCTGGGAATGAGGGGTTTCCAAGCACGTGGGGCTTGGAGTGCTGAAACCCAGACCAGATCGTTCCAGACAAACAGGGGTGGCTGGTCTCCATAATAAGTCACTTGTGCAGGGTAACACAGTAAGTGGCAGAGCCTGTCCTGAAATCCAGGTGGCCTGACTTAGGCTCAAACTCTCCACCTCTGCCCGTGGTTCTTATACCAGAGCCTGCATCTGAAGCGGCTGGAGATCTTGTTAAAACCCAAGCCCTGGCCTCACCCTCACCATTCGGTTGGTTGGAGGTGGTGGAGGTGACTGAGAATTTTCTTTTCTTTCTTTCTTTTTTTTAAGCTTATTTATTTATTTTTGAGAGAGAGAGAGCACGAGAGCATGAGTGGGGGAGGAGTAGAGAGAGAGAGGAAGAGAGAGAATCCCAAGCAGGCTCCGCCAGCACGGAGCCAGACTCGGGGCTTGCCCCCACAAACCCGTGAGATCATGACCTGAGCCAACACCGAGGATCGGACGCTTAACCAACTGAGCCACCCAGGCGCCCCGAGAAGTTGCTTTGCTAATATGTTCCCAGCTGACGTCAATGCTGCTGGTCTGCAGACTGACTTGGAGAAGCTCCGCGTTGTGCCACCCCGCCTCCAGACGGGAAGGTTGGAATGGACTTTTCAGGTAGGACCTGTCCACTGCCACCCGCGCTCACGAACGCTCAGATGGCCCCTTTGCCGCAGCACTGAGAAATACACGGCTGAGAGACATGCCCTCACGCCAAGAATGCGGACCGGCGAGCCGCAGCGGAATGGGAATCTGGTGTCTGGGCTCAGAAGGGCATGGGATTGCCAGCATTAGTTGTCAAGGCAGAGGTGGGGTTGCCACGCAGGTGGCCCCCGCGTCGCTGCAGAGTAAAAGCTCTGCAGTTCCTGCCGGCGCTGGCACGGGGATCTACCTGGCTTGACTTTCAGCCGAATCTGGGGCACTATTTCTGGCTCCATAAGCCCTCAAGCTGGCTCTCTGACTCTCCCTGGGATCCTGTGACCAGGATTTTATTTTTTTAAATTGAGGTGAGGGACACCTGGGTGACTCAGTTGGTTAAGCGTCTGACTTCGGCTCAGGTCATGATCTCACGGTTCATAGGTTCGAGCCCCGTGTCGGGCTCTGTGGTGACAGCCCAGAGCCTGGAGTTTGTTTCAGATTCTGTGTCTCCCTCTCTCTCTGACCCTCCCCTGCTCACGCTGTCTCCTCTCTCTCTCTCAGAAATAAATAAAACATTTTAAAAAATAAAAAAAAATAAATTGAAGTGAAATTCGCATAGCATGCAAGTAACAAGTTTGGTGGCATTTGTGAGAGCACCACCTCTAAGTTCCAAAACAGAACCCAGACCCATCGAGCAGTTACTACCCATTCTCCTGCCACCCCTGGCCACCATCAGTATGTGTTTTATTCTGTGGATTTACCTTTTCTGAACATTTCATATGAATGGAATCATAGGATATGTGACCTTTTGTGGCTAGTTTATTTCACTTAAAATAATGCTTTCAAGGTTCATCCACCTTAGCATGTATCAGTACTTCATTCCTTTTTGTTTGTTTTTTGAGAGAGGGAGAGAGAGGGAGAATGTGTCACACAAGCAGGGGGAGAGGGCAGAGGGAGACAAAGAATCCTGAGCTGGTCCCACTCCTGGCTCAGAGCCGGGTGGGACTCTGGGCTCAGTCTCACGAACCGTGAGGTCATGCCCCGAGCCGAAATCAAGAGTCAGACGCTGAATTGGCTGAGCCGCCCAGGCACCCCAGTACTTCATTCCTTTTAATGGCTCAGTACTATTCTGTGGCATGTACACACCGCTATTTGTTTATCTACTCCTCCGTCGATGGGCGTTTGCTTGTTTCTCCCGCTTTGCTGCTGGGAACAATGTTGCTGTGAACTTTGTGTACAAGGATGTGCTGGAGTGCTTGTTCTCAGCTCTCTCAAGTACGTACCTGGGAGTGGGGTTGCTGCGTCCTATAGTAGCTGTGCCTAGCTTTTTGAGGACTCACCGAACTGTTTCCAGAGTGTTATGTTCCCCCCAGCAGTGTAGGAGGGTTCTAGTTGGTCCAAGTCCTCATCGGCATTTGTTATCATCTGTGTCTTTGATAACAGCTATCCTCATGGGTGCAAAGTGGTATCTCACTGTGGTTTTGCTGTAAATTTCCTAATGACTAGTGATGTATTTGTTGGCCACTTGTGTAGCTTGTCTGGGGAACCATCATTCATGTCCTTTGCCTATCTGTAAATCATTATCTTTTTTTAAAAATGTTTTTATTTAGGGGCGCCCGGGTGGCTTAGTCAGTTGGGCATCCGACTTTCGCTAAGGTCATGATCTCACGTTTCGTGGGTTCGAGCCCCACGTCGGGCTCTGTGCTGACTTCCAACTCAGAGCCTGGAGCCTGTTTCAGAGTCCGTGACTCTCTCTCTCTGATCCTCCCCTGCTCACGTTGTCTCTCTCTCTCTCTCTCTCTTTCTCTCTCTCCTAGAAATAAATAAAACATAAAAAAAAAATTTTTTTAAAATGTTCTTATTTATTTCTGAGAGGGTGAGAAACAGCGTGAGCAGGGGAGGGTCAGAGAGAGAGGGAGACACAGAATCCGAAGCAGGCTCTAGGCTCTGAGCTAGCTGTCAGCACAGAGCCCAACGCGGGGCTCGAACCCATGAACCGTGAGATCATGACCTGAGCCAAAGCCAGGTGCTTAACCGACTGAGGCACCTAGGTGCCCCTATCTTTTTTTTTTTTTGAGAGAGAAAGACAGAGTGTGAGCAGGGCAGGGGCAGAGAGAGAGAGAGAGAGAGAGAGAGAATCTGAAGCAGGCTGCAGGCTCTGAGCTGTCAGCACAGAGCCCGACGCAGGACTCAAACCCACAAACCCATGAGATCATGACCTGAGCCGAAGTCAAACCCTCAACTGACTGAACCACCCAGGAGTCTCAATCCTTGTCTTTTTGATAAATTTCTTTTCTGCTGTGATTAAGCCAGAACTGTTCCTGTGTTTCTGTTTGTTGCAACAACAGTAAAAACCGTGGCTTCTTCACTTCTCCCCGTTCTGGGACCCCGGGTCACACTCCTACGTCCAACCTGCAAAGCAACTCAACGTTCACATATAACAGTGCACAACTGGGTGGGGTGCATTCTGGGCGTTAATGATGGCACCTGCCAGTCTTCACCTGCCCACCCAGCCCCTCTCATCACTGAAGGGAAAGGAGGGCGACAGGGCCATAACACAGCCCAGTTCAGGCACAAAGAAAGCAGGCACACGTAGGGGGAGGCATGGTGAATACAGCGAAAGGGCAGAGGCCCAAAGCCTTCGGAAACAGCGGTGAGAGGAGCTGGAGCAGGAAGTTAGGGATGCAAACACGGCTTCCGAATCTGTGTATCATTCAGGGGCTAAGACCAGAAAACTTCCAGAGGGTGGTCTAGGTCACATGGGTGAGCAGGGACAGGACTGGGGTGGGTTGTGGGCAGCCAGCAGTGAAGCCTCAGGCACCCTCTGGTCTTCCCAGGATCATCCTGAGTCAGCTGGATTCCCCTTCCAAACACGCAGGCACAAGTCTGATTCATAACTTAGTTTAATCCTTTGTGGGGTGTGCCCTGGGCAGCGAGGAACCCCCATCCGCCCCACTGGGTCTGGCACACACGGAAGACAGAGGTCTCTTCTGACGCTGACCCTGGCTCCTGTTTGGGCGCCTGACACCCATCTTCCCGATGAAAGCAGGATGAGGGGCCCCAGGCCCCTGTGGGCCTGACTCGAGCCCCCTGCCTCACTTCCTGCAGCGTCTGAGACCTCTGTGGATGATGGGCTTGCAGCTCTGGCCTGGCCCTTGCTCCAGACAGGTGGGCAGATGGGCACACATCTGGGGGTGGGGGTGGCGGTGGCAAGGGAGAGGCCTGGCTGAGTCTCAGGGCCCCACAGCCCACCGGGAAATGTGCTCCTCAGCTGGAAAGGAAGCCAAACCGAGCAAGGGTCAGTGGCAGCCGTGGCGGTCCTTGGGTGGGGACCTTCCTGCAGCTGGTCCTAAAGGGCTATGGTCCCAGATGGAGCCCCAGACCTTTCCAGCAGGTGCTGCTGGGGGCCGGTTCTGGGCCAGGTCACCTCTGATCCCCACCATTGTTCACTGGGCTCTGGGGAGTCAGGGAACACCGGCAAAGCCAACAGGTCCCCAGGCAGCAGCTTCAGTGACAGGAGGAAAGGAACCTTGGAGACCTCCCCGGCCAGGCTGCATTCCAGTCCTGCCGTGGCGCGGACCTGCTAAGCTGAGCCCTTTCCTCTCTGGGCCTCAGGGGCCCGCAGGTACCGGAGCTCCCAAGCAGAACGTCCCTGGTGGCCCTGCATACTCAGACCCTGTCTGGGCCTGTGACCTGGATATCCTAGTGCATGGAGAGGGCCAGCAGGGACCTCAGGGGCCAGGGACCAGGGAAGGGGAGGTGTGAGCGGGCCCTCACCAAACTGGCAGATGTAACGGTTTCGGGTTTTACAGCGCTGGTCATTCCAGTTGAAAGCGGCTGATGCCTGCAGCTCCACGCAGTTGCCAAACCTACCAGGCCAAGGTGTTGGGCGCTCAGGGTGGACGACCGAAATTAGGAGTCCGGGAGAAGCTTAAATCTTCCACTCCAGGGGCTCCTGGGTGGCTCCATCAGTTAAGTGTCCGATTCTTGGTTTCGGCTCAGGTCATGATCTCACGGTTTGTGGGATCGAGCCCCGTGTCGGTGCTCCTCACTGACAGTGCGGAGCCTGCTTGGGATTCTCTCTCTCTCTCCCTCCCACTCTTTCTCTCCCTCCCTTTCTCTCTGCCCTTTCCCTGCCCTGCTCATGCACGTGCTCTCTCTCTCTCTCAAAATAAATAAATAAACATTAAAAATATTCCACTCCAGCAGGCCACCTGCGTCTAAGAAGCCTAGGTGCCTCTAGCCTACATAGGGCTTCCGGGAGCTAGACCCACCCCCGGGCTCCCATGCCTGCCACCAGGCCTCTGCAGCTCCTCTCGGGGAAGCTGGGAGGTCTCAGCAGACCCCCGACCTGGGCCGCAACTCCCCCCACCCAGTGCCAGCACTCAGCTGCACCAGCCAGTGGGACCTGGAATAGGCAGGCCCATGTCCTTCCTCCCAGCAGGGAGAGGGTGTGCCTGGGAGCCCAACCAGACCAGTGTCCTCTAGGTGACAGAGCAAGGGTGTGGCCCTGGCTGCCATCAATGAGGTTGAAGGATGTGGGTGAGATGTTTGAAGCCCTTAGTCCACACAGCCTGACTTCCTCTACCCTGTCCCCCCTTGCCCTGGGCATTCCTGGGCTCTGACGCCTGGGGCAGGGCTGCATAACCAGAAGGCCCTTGGTACTGGCTGTCTGGAGGGTGGGTGTGTGCAGGCCTGGAGGCAGGTGGGTGTATTGCTAAAGACCCCAGAATCAGGCTGTTGATGTAGGCCAAGGAATGTGGTGGTGGGGAGAGGTGGATGGGTAATAGAGGGAATGATGCGGATGGACGGGTGGACGAAGCTTTCTGGAGCTCCCTCTCCTTTATGTAAGCCCCACGAGGTGGGGATGGGCCTCACGTCCGCTGTACCTGGACTTCCTGGGCACTGGTGAGGCCCAGGCCCTCAGAGGGCTCAGCCAGCGGGCCCCCGTGAGAGAGTGAGCCCGGAGGAGGGAGGCATCCCAGACTCACCCCTGGTTGTCAGGCTGCCCAAAGGCGAAACTGGTGAATGACTGTTGCTCCCCGGTGGTCCAGCGGAAGGAGTCCTTAGTGGTCTTGTAGGTGAGCCCTGGGCCCCAGCAGCTGAGGTTGGCCCACCAATCCTGGGCCCCACTCAGCGCCCAGGCTCCCTGAGAGGGGCGCCCTGAGCTTGGAGCCTGCTGCTTAATGCCCACCCGTTCCAGCCCTTAACCACCTTCCCAGCTCCTTCAGCCCTCAGGGACATTCCCTTGCCCTCTCTTCAGTGCTTCCCCCCCGCCCCCTCCAACCCCTGCTCAGGGAAGGAGGTTGCCAGCCCCTTTCCGGGCCCCCAGCCCTCATCAAACCCTTTCTGTCTGCTGAGGGGTTTTTGCAGCCCAGATTCCTGCACCCCCAACCAGCCAGGCACTCACCGATCCAGAAGTTTCTGGTCTCAAAGTCGCTGTCAGTCACCTCATTGGTGGTCTCCAGGCGCCCCAGGTAGAAGGCGAGGATGTCCTGAACTTTCTGGCTCTCAATCTGGGCTAGCACCCCGCCCTTTCCCTGTAACCCCCACTCCATGTCAGGCCGGGCCTCGGAGCTCAGGCCAGCCCTTCCTACCCATGCTGCCACCCCAAAGGGGCCAGGGACATCCTCTCCCCCACCCCACAGCCCCCTGCTTCTTAGAGTAGGGGTCCCTCTCTACTGCCTCTCCCCTGCCTACATCTCCTCTCTCTGTGCACAGGGGCCCAGGCTGGCAGGGCCCTGACCTCGGGAGGGTTTTGTTTCATCTGTTTAGTGTCTTAAATACATTTGAATCGGTTGCCGACATTAATAAATCGAGCAGTGCCAGTGAAAATCTGAATTGCTGGTTCTCTTGAAAAATCCAAAGTTCTGGCCTCTGTGAACTCATATACCTTCATGACAGCCAGCAGCTAGGACTGAACCAGGATGGCTCCTTAGATGGGGATTGAGCAAGGGCTCACCCCTGGGTCCCTCAGCTTATTAGGTGACCTCCTGGCTCCTATGGGCCTCTGAGTTTGTGAGTCCTGCTTTACACTAATGACCAGAGTCAGGTCAGAAGAAATCAAAGGAACCATTTCTAAGTCCACGCTCCTTCCACTGAGACCCTCACTTGAGACCCTGGGGACCCTGGAAAGGCAGGGGTCAACCGTCACCTGGCATTTCATCTTGGCCCCATAGTAGGTGTCCGCCTCTGAAGACACCATGAAGCAGTCTCCGTCGATCCTCAGGTCACAAGTGTGGAAGGGAAAGTGCACCTTGGCTGAGGACAAGAGGGCCTGACTGTGTGCGTGGGCACCTCGGACCCATTACGCCTTCTTTCCCGCCAGGGAGCCAGGCTCAAGAGGCCCCTTCCCCTCCCCCTGACCACCTTCTCCAAGCTGGAGAGTGGGTGGCAGTCAGTGCCGTGCTGGTGAATATGGCACAACCAGCTCACTCTCTCTTACACAAAACAAAACAAAACAAAGATTTATAGAATTTGCCAATTTCTGTGGTGCGAATACCCCCACCAGGGGCAATTCCAAAGTACCAATGTGATGTCACTGAACAGGGAGTTGGGAAGAGATGTGCACAGGAGACACCTGTGAGCCGGTCTGAGCTGGATCCAGCGACCTGCTGCTGACAGGGTCCCTGGGGTGTGGCCTGGCTCATCGGGGGACTTTGGGGGCAGCACTTACTGGCACACTGGGCCCCCCCATAGCCGATGTCACAGATGCAGGAACACTCCTCTTCCCGAAACCGGCCATGAACGCACTGCACGCTGCACCGCACTGCCAGGGTGGGCGGAGGGGACATGGCTCAGCCCGCAGCCCTGGAGCCCCACACTGCCCTCACAGGCCTCAGAGTGTGGGGGGTGGCCCACTGCAGCCAGCGTGTCCCTTAGGGATGGAACCCATCAGGGCTTCAACTATTGCCACATTTGATTTGATCTGCTTTGTAGAGAGAAGCAAACTGGGGTTTGGAAGGGGGACCTGCCTATGGTCACAGAGCTGGGAAGGGGACACTGGGATGAGAGTCTACTTCTAGGTCCTGATAACGTCCCCCTGCTACCATCCCAGGGCCTAAGGGCCAAATCTGATTCTACTTTGAAGCCCTGCACAGCTCAGGGTCTGGCAGGCAGTCGGAGCTCAGGCTGTCTGTTGACTGACTGTATGCACTGTCCAGGTCAGCAAGAACCTGGTCAGCACCCACCGGCTCCCTCAAGACTCTCTCCAAACACTTTCAGTGAGTGCAACACGGCCCCTGGACACACCACGCAGCAAGTGTGCCCCCTCCTCTTCACCCCCTAAGGCTGCCTGCATGTGCCCTGGGCCCAGACTTCGCTCCCTGGGTGATCACGTGTCCCTCACCTTGGCAGTATCTGCCTGTGTAGCCAGGGGGACAATGGCAGTGGCAGGTGCTGACGTTGAGATGTCCATGGTTCCGGCAGCTCATGCGACATGGGTTCCTGGGGACCTCTGGTCAGGCGAGGTTGGAGCTCTGAGAGGGAGCCTCCTTCAGGCAGCCCAGCCAGGTGCCTCCCGGGTGCTAAGGGCCACGGCTTCGAGGACAGTCCTACAGGATGCTGCCACCCTCCACGAGGATCACATCAAGCTCTCTTGTCCCAGCAGGAGGCGGGCGGAGGGGGGCACTTACCGCAGAGCCCCCCTGCGTGGTCCCAGGCTTTGAAGCAGCCCGAGACGCTTGCCGTGCAGAGCGAGCACCAGGAGCCGGCCTTATAGGGGACAATTGTCTTCCCGTTTACCTCCCAGTTGCCTCTGTGAGAGCAAGCACCAGAGAGGGCTGCAAGGGCCTGGCCTTGGGGAAGGGTCCCCTTCAGCTCCTTGGTCGGGCCAGGGAGTTGGGGAACAGGGAGGTGACAGGGAGGCTGTCCTAAGAAAGGAAAAACTGCCTCAAAACTACTGCTAATGCTCCATACTTCTACTGAGCGAAGCGGAACAGTGTTTCCAAGGACGGGCATCCGAGGAGCAGCCACATTCTGCCTGGGCAGGATCATGAGTGCTACCCACTTCTACACCCTCTCCCTTTCTTTGTTTCCACAAGGGTGCAGACCAGAGGGCAAAGACCTTGTGAGTAGGTGGGTGATTACCCCGGGTGAAAGTATCCTCCACCCCACAACCCAGCAGTGGGGGACTTACCCGGGAGAATAGGCACAGACGAAGGCTTCCATCTCTGCTCGGGCCCCAGAGCAGGGCTGCTGCCCACAGCCCAGCTGGCTGGAGGTGGCCCACACAAGCTGCAGGAGATACAGTGGCTCAGAAACCCCATCACGGGCCACTCCCAGTCTGGGGGCCAACAGGCACTGATGATACTTGCTTGGAGAGGGGAGACACAGCCTCTGCCCCAAACCAGGCAGCAAGGCAGCTCCCTCACCTCCTGGGGCCTCAGCAGTGGCAGCTGGGCTGGGCAGGGCTATGAGGACAGGTGGGAACAGCCTGGGAAGGCTTTCTAGGTGGGAGAGTGGAGGGGTGTCAATCGGCAGATACCTGAAGAAAGGAGAGAATCGTGGGTGGGTAGAAAGTGGCAAAAGAAAGTCTTGGACAGGTCTTTTGGGTGGGCCAGTCGGTTGATCTTGGCTCAGGTATGTGAGATCGAGTCCCACCTGGGATCTGGGCTGACAGCAGCACAAAGCCTGCTTGGGATTCTCCCTCTCCCTCTCTCTCTGCCCCTCCTCCACTTGCTCTCTCTCTCTCTCAAGAAAAAAAAAGTCTTGGTCATCAAAGGCCTTGGGACAGATTGCACTTATGGCTATAACCCTTCATTCCTCCCTACACCCCACCCTTAAATGTGCCTTTGCAGTTCTTTGGATCAAGAGGAGGCCTCTTTTCTGTCCTTGAATCTGGCTGGCCTTGTGGCTTGCATTGGCCAACAGAATGCAGAAGTGATATTGAGCTGGTTTTGACCCTCAGCCTCAGGAGACCCCACAGGCAAAGGTGAGCCAGCTGAGGCCACTCTAGACAGCCAGCTCCCAGCCAACACAGCAACTGATTGCACTTGCACGTGGGCCCCACCAAGGCCAGAAGAACCTTCCTGCTGGGCCCAGCCCAAATTGCCGACCCGCAGAATCATAGGATGCTAAACTGTGGGGTAGTGTGTCATGCAGCAGAAGCTAACAGGGGTAGGTCTCTGATAGTACCCCAAACTTCGATTTAAAATTTAAAAATCAGTGACAACTTGGAGACAGCACAAATAGTCAATACACAGGAATAGTTATACAAACTCCTGCAGCCCTCAAAATGACAGCTATGAAAAAGGGAGACACAGACATGTAGTCATATATATGTACCCAATAATTAGAGAACATACACTCTCTTCAGGGATGCCCGGAACTTTTTGCAAACATTGACCCCTCAGTAAACCACAAAGCAACATTCAACAAAGACCAAAGGAACAATATACTATGGGCTGCATTCTATAAATACAATGCAATAAAATATCAAGTAAATAACTTAGAAGTAAGAGAAAGGAGAAACCATAGGAAATTTAAGTATACCCTTCAAAATCAAAGACATCATGATGGAGAATAGGAAACACGTAGAAATGGATGGCAGTGAAATCACTGAACAGGAAAACCCACGGGATACAGCTAATGAAGTTTAGAGGGAAATTTATAGCTTTAAGTGAATTTAGCAGAAATGGAAAGATACTTAAAAATTAATCAGCTAATAATCCATATCAAGAATATAAAAAAAATAGGGCCGGCTGGGTGGCTCAGTTGGTCAAGCGTCCAACTTTGGCTCAGGTCATGATCTCATGGTTTGTGAGTTTGACCCCGGTGTTGGGCTCTGTGCTGACAGTGTGGAGCCTGCTTGGGATTCTCTCTCCCTCTCTCTCTCTCTCTACCCCTCCCCTGCTTGCTCATTCTTTCTCTCAGAAAAAAAAAAAAAAAACAGGATAAAAAACAAAACAGAACAAAAAGCTAATTTGTTAAAATAGGCACAGCTCTGGGAAGACTGGTAAAGAATGGAAGAGAGAAGGCACAAATAAACAAAGCTGAAAAGTTAAAAAGGGCCTAGCTATAGACACAGCAAATCTTTTTAAAATCCCTGTTTAATTCTAGTTTTATTTTTTTTTAAATATTTTTATTTATTTCTAGGGGAGAGAGAGAGAGACAGCGTGAGCAGGGGAGGGTTAGAGAGAGAGGGAGTCACAGACTCCAAAATAGGCTCCAGGTTCTGAGCTGGCAGTCAGCACAGAGCCCGACGCAGGGCTCGAACCCACGAACCATGAGATCATGACCTATGCGAAAGTCCGACGCTTAACCAACTAAGCCACCCAGGTGCCCCATAATTCTACTTTTAAATCTCTGTTAAATACTGAACAATTCTGACCAATAAATTGGAAAACATAAAATGGACAATTTTCTAGAAAATAGAACTTGGCAAAACTATCTCAAGAAGTAGAAAATCTAAAATGGTTTCTGGCCATTTCTAAAAGTTGATTCAGCAGTTAAAAATCCACACATATAACACATATACACAAAAACAGCCCCAAAATAGAACAAGGTCCAAATAGTATTACAGGAAAGTTAGTGCAAATATAGAAACTACTCCAGGAAAGAGAAAATAAGGCAAAATTTGAAACTTATTTTATGAGGTCAGTGTAGCATTGCTCTAACCCAAGTAACGGCAGTATGAGTAAAGGAAATCAGAGGTCAATTTCAATAGCAAATAATAATTAGCAAACCAGAATTAACAACAGTAACAGGGGCGCCTGAGTGGCTCACTTGGTTAAGCATCTGACTCTTGACTTCAGCTCAGATCATTATCTCATGGCTTTTGACTTTGAGCCCCGCATCAGGCTCTGTGCTTACAGCACGCTCCTTGAGATTCTCTGCCTCCCTCTCTCTCTGCCATTCCCTCGCTCACCCTTACTCTCTCAAAAATAAAGAAATAAACATTAAAACAACAACACATTCACGCACACATGCACAGACACACACTGAATCATATTATTTCACATTACATGACATGCCAAGTTGACAGGTATTCAAAATATTTAACAACTAGTAGGTATGGATAATTGCCAATCAGAACAGATACAGGCTAAAGCAGGATCCTAGGAACCCACTTCTGTGCCAGGCATTCATTCTTTAGTTCTAGGTCATGAGACAGATCCTGAGTGTCCCAGGAAAGAGGCCAGGCCAGGTGCATTCTGGGAGCTTGGGGCAGCTACTGTTTACTAATACATCAGTATTTTAGCATTTGAATAACTATTATAGCATATGGTGTATAGATGAATCACATTCCTGCAAGTAGGAAGGCAAGAAAGAGTTAAATTTTAAAAGTATATATTAATTATGATATTGTGATTATAAAAGAGCCATCTTTTAGAGACATACACTTATGGGTAAAATTACATGTTGCCTAAAATTTGCTTAAGAATAATAGGAGAGGGAAATAGATACGGATATAGATGAAACAAGATGAGCTCTGAAACCCTGAATTGATAATTGTTGGAGCTGGGTCATGGGTGGTATCATTCTGACCGCTTTATATGTTTTAAATTTTCTATAATAAAATGCTTAAAAAATATGACCAGAAAGACCTAGTGTCCATGTAGCATCTTGGTATGTACATCCAAAAATTATTCATGTATTGCATCACTTTAATCGTCAAGGAAAAACCATACGATTGTTTCAGTAGATTTGAAAAACCATTTGATAAACTGTAAGGCCTGTTCATGGTTTAAAAAATCCTGAACAGGGGTGCCTGGCAGGCTCAGTTGGTAGAGCCTGCAACTCTTGATCTTGGGGTTTTGAGTTTGAGCCCTCCACTGGGTGTAGAGATTACTTAAAGACAAAATCTTTCAAAATGGATAAAACATGAAAAATTCTTAGCTGTCAGCCCAAAGCCGCCCTGGGGCTCGAACTCAGACCCTGAGATCTTGACCTGAGCTGAAGTCTGACGCTCAACCAACTGAGCCACCTAGGCGCCCCAAAACATAAAAATTTCTTTAAAACAATTTTTGTTAATGTTTATTTATTTTTGAGAAAGAGTGAAACAGTGCAAGTGGGGGAGGGGCAGAGAAAGGGGGAGACACAGGATCCAAAGCAGGGTCCAGGCTCTCAGCACAGAGCCTGACATGGGGCTCGAACCCACAGACTGTGGGATCATGACCTGAGCCAAAGTTGGACGTTTAACCAATTGAGCCACCCAGGTGCTCCTAAAAAATTCTTAATAAACTTATATTAGAAAGAAATGTCTGTAATCTGATAAAGGCTATTTATTAAAAAGTTCATATGAGAGAATCAGGAGCCAAGCACAGGCAGCAAAGTTTTCAACAATAATGATAATATGGGAAATTTTCCTTTCCAAACTTTTCTATAAAGCCATAATAATTAAAATATGATTTGTGCAACAACAAATAAACAACAACAAAAAGCCAACAAAACAGGACTAAGAATTCAGCAAAAGGCCTATGGGCAGATGTGAGCTTGGTATATGACTGAGACGGCATTATGAATCAGTGGGGAAGGATACAATCCTCAGCAGAAGATGCTTATTTGGAAAGACATAAAATGAGATCCTATATCACACCATGAAAAATTCCAGGTGGCATAATGACATCCATATGAAAAAGGAAAGCTTTAGAAGAAAATATATATATTTTTTTAATGTTCCATTTATTTCTGAGAGAGAGAGGGAGAGAGAGAGCATTAGCAGAGGAGGATCAGAGAGAGGGAGATACAGGTCTGAAATAGTCTCCAGGCTCTGAGCTGGCAGTCAGCACAGAGACTGATGCGGGGCTTGAACCCACGAACCGTGAGATCATGACCTGAGCCGAAGTCAGATGCTTAACCGACTGAGCCACCCAGGCGCCCCTGGAAGAAAATATATTTCTGATGTCAGAGTAGAAAAGCATTTTTTAAACATGATACTACAAACAGATGAACTATACATTAAACTGAGAAAATGGATTAATACTAGAATCTTCTAAAAGATCTATCATATAAAATATAATATACACAAAGCAAAAATACAAGCCCTCTGCTAGGAAAAAATGTATATCAATATGGCCAACAGAAAGTATAAAGAATGTAGAAAGGGTGCTTAAAAATTAGTAAGAAAAAGATGCTCTGTGTTATAAAAATGGGCAAGAGATATGAACAGGTAATTAACTAAGTAGGTAGTATGCTCAATTTCAAATGAAATAAAAATTAAAAACCAAGTGAGGAAGCACTTCATAGCCTTGAGTTGGTCAAAATCAAGGAGCCTGGCAATACTGGGGAAGTGAGAACTGACTTGTGGATGGGAATATGATTGGCATGGGCCATTTGGGCAATAACCCATAAGGTATAGTTGCATATATGCCATGTCCTGGCCATTCGCCTTCTAAGTGCATCCTAGAGAAACTCTAGACACATATGCCCAAGCGACCCCCAAAGACCCCCTCTAGGATTTTTGCTTTGTGGAACGACTTTTATTTTTAAAAATTTTTAAAGTTTTTATTTATTTATTTTGAGAGAGAGAGAACATAAACAGAGGATGGGCGGGTGGCTGGGGAGACAGAGAGAGAGAGAGAGAGAGAGAGAATCCGAAGCAGGCTCTGTGCAGACAGTGTGCTTGACATGGGGCTTGACATGGGGCTTGAACTCACAAAATGTGAGGTCATGACCTGAGCCAAAACCAAGAGTTGGCCGCTCAACCAACTGAACCACCCAGGTGCTCCTGGAATGACTTTTAATAGTAAAAAAGTAGAAATAACCTAGATGCCTGTAAATTGCAGTTTATTCATAGTGAACCACCCATGTGTATCTGGATCAATGGAAGTAAATCTTAGAAATGTGGTCTGGCGTGGTAAAGGGGACACACAGAGCCCTCATAGAGGACTTAATAACATACAACCAACTTGCAAAAACAGTAAAGGTATGAAAACACTTAGACGTGTAGTAAAGGCATTAACACATGCTTTGGTTTGCCTGTGTTTTTCAGTGCTGCACCCTAGCACCTAAACAATGTCAGGTATATAGAATAAAACAAAGGAAACGTGCTTCAGACTGACCCACCTGGATTGCAGGAAGGTCACCTCTAGGGAAGGACAGAGGAAAGAGCAGGAAATAGGGCTTCAGTGTTGTTGTTTGTTTTTTCTTCAGAGATGAAAAACAACTATAGTTAAACATTTTCTAAATCTCGGCAGTGGGTAAAAGGGAGGCCATTATTTGATTTATGCTTCAAATATTTCGCATTTAAAGCTGAAAAAAGTAAAACTTTATAAATCAGGGGCAAAGCGACCCCCAATTTCAGGACGAACGGTAGCGCTTCTGAGCTGCCCCCAGTGGCGCAGGGGCCATGGAGCCAGTGGCACGGCCTCACCTGAGTATAGTGGGTGCACGTGGCATTGTGGGCACACTCGGCCGCTGCGTGGCTGTACTGCTGCCCCTCTGCGAACCACAGGCCCACCACGTGGACAAAAGACGCTGAACCCACGGGCAGCAGCTGCACGTTCCAGCCCACTTGCTGGGTGGCTCGGGGTGCCGACGCAGGCTTCGGGGCTGGAGCACCACAGAGGGCCGCCCTGGCCTGAGCCCAGCGGGCCAGGCTCTCGCTCCAGTCCTGGGGGCAGCACAAACAGAGACATCAGCAGGGACCTTTGGTCAGGCCTTAACCTCCCCGCAGGGTATAGGTCATGCAGAGAGCACTGGACCAGGATTCCTGCTTGGCCATCTGACCCCTCCAAGCTTCTTTCACCCACTTCTTCCGGAGCCAGTGGAGGTCAGACTGGACCTGCAAGGAGCTCTCCAGGATATGTTTGTAAAGTACCAGTGATGTCTGGATGCCTGACTCAGAGCCCGGCTCTATGCAGGACTGAGAGCTTAGGCCCTGCTTAGGCACCATCCCAGGGTGGGGGGGGCGGGGGGGGAAGGGGGAGAATGGCTGATCCTGAGGGAGTAGTGCTAAGCCAGGGTGATGGGATGGGCTTCTCTGGTAGTTTTTCCTGTCTGAGAATATGAGCCCTGGGCAGTGCCCAAGCCTTGCAAACTGGTTTTATGTTTGTCATTAGGTACAACTGGCCTTGGCCATTGGCAGAAAGGCTCGGTTGCTCCCACTTGGCTTTTCTTTGATGCAAAAGGCCTCAGCAGCCATGCTCCTGTGTCTCGTTCTCCAACCCCGGCCTTGGAGTGCGTGGGGGTGCCAAAGGGGAAGCAGGACCAGAGAGGCTCCTGGCCTCAGGGTCTGGCCCCAGCCAGAGTGGCCACTCTGGAGTGGCTCCAATCTTCTCTCCCCACCCAGAAACCAATAGACTGCCCCTCACACCCCCACTGCCACCTAATAGTCCTCCCTTCTCTTAAACAAGGGGCTCAGGGGGGCGCCTGGGTGGCTCAGTCAGGTAAGGATCCGGCTCTTGATTTTCGCTCAGGTCATGAGCTCATGGTTTGTGAGTTCGAGCCCTGCATCACTCTGTACTGACAGTGCAGAAACTACCTGGGATTCTCTTTCCTTCTCTCTCTGCCCCTGCCCTGCTCACATTCTGTCTCTCTGACTCTCAGAATAAAATAAATTTAAAAAAACTTAAATGAGGGGTTCAGTAGTGAAGAAGACATGGGTCACCCCATCACCATGCCCTGCCCCAATCCAGCCACCCCGTTAGCAGTCCCCTAATCTCCATGAGACTCAAGACCTTCATCTGTAAAATGAGGACAGGAAGGTACTTTTGGGTAAGAGTGTCATGGGGATTGTATCAGCCTCCACTGGGGAAAAGCCCGAGACGGCTGCAGAGGTGAGGGAGGCCAAGTGGTGGGGCTCCATTCTCATCTTTCATGAAATGCTCTTTTTCTAAGACTTTGGCCAAAGGGGCACAAAAACTATAGAAACTGCTGACCAGGGGATCGGGACGGCCCCACGCCAGGTGCTTGAGCTGGGAGCAAGGAGAGTGAGCAGTGGGGGCCAGGAGCTGGGCCTGAGGAGGGGCAGAGCTGCTGCAGAGCAGGGAGAGGAGAGAAGCGACCCCTTCCTCCCTGCCCGCACCACCCCCACCTCCTGGGAAACTGACCCGGGAGCTCTCAAGGTCACCACCACTGAGCCAGCCTGGAGGAGTTTATGGGAGGCAGCCATGGAGAACTCTGCCCACCCCCACACAATCTTGCCCTTACTCCTGGGCCTGTTAACATGTGCTGGGGCAGCATTCCTGGGCCCAGATGACACCACCCACCCAGCCGTCCCAGTTGGGGTGGTGGGAAACCCTATGCATCCTACCCCAGCCCCCAGTGAATGAGCAGGGGGCTTGGAGGGGCCCCACTTAGTCACCCAGACAAACCATGAAGAAGCACTGGGCCCTGGTCACATTCAAGCCCCCTCCCTCGAGCGGGGTGTTTCTCCCTCCCAGTCCTCTGCCCCTCTGATCCTGCTGGGACTCCTTTGTGCAGCTCTTCTTTCCTGCCAGCTCCTTCCATGTCTTCTGGTCTCCCGGGCAACGGGATGGGATGTGAGGAAAGGCCAGAGAACTGCCCTTCTGGGAAGCAGGCAGCTGCGGAGCCCCAGCGACCAGACATGGTCCCCCCAGTGGGCCAGGTGACTGGCTGCCCCCCTGCCCTGCCCAGGTGGAAGGGCGCCTGGCACCAGCCTGGCCTGAGCCCTCTTCGGGTTTGCCCCTCCAGCCTCCCCCTTGGGGGTGCTCACCATTCTCTGCATGTTGGCGGCGGGGGGGTGCACCCGGCTTCGCAGGCGGTTGTGCAGGGACAGGAGCAGGAACGTCTCCCTACTGCTCAGAGCTGGGGGAGACAAGGTCAGGCCCCCTGGGTGATGGGGTGGAGGGTCACCGTGGCAAGAGAATGTGCAGCCCTGCCCTTAGGAAACAAGCAGGAGTGGCGTGGGAGGATGGTGGGCTTACGGAGGGCTCGCACGGAGGGATGGGAGACAGGTGTGGGGGTGGGGGAGAGGCAGGTGTGAGGCTGGGTGTGTGGACGGGTCAGCCCTGGGGGCCCCAGCTGCAGGCTCCAGGCTGGTATTCCTCCCTGACCCCTGAGCCTGGGCTCACTCCCCTTCATTCCTCTCCCCAGCCCCAGCCTCCCCCCTCCATCTTGGGCCCCTGGACTGCCCAAGGGGACTCTTTCAACCACAGCTAGCCTGCTGGGGTTCAGGCCTGGAAACTGGCTTCGGGAAGCCCCGTAGCACCCCTCTGCAGGGCTCACAGCCACTCCACCTCTCTCCTCACCCAGGGGCCCCTTACCTCCAGGCACTGGAGCCTGTTCCTCCTGCGGCAGGAGCGGCTGCACCTCTGCTCCGGCCATGCCAAGGAAAGCCAGGAGTAAGGGCAGGAGGCCAGGCCGGTGGCCCCTCAGCCTGGCGGAGGGCTCTGGCCACAGCATGGACCTGTCGGGAGCTCCGGATGTGAGCTGGCTCAGCCGTCCAGCCTGCTTCCCAGGCTAGACAGAGCTACTCACAATCTCAAGGAGTCAGGCTGTACTGGCAGACAAAAGAGGGAGGCTGGTGAGCAATCGATGTATCCAAAAAGCCTCCCGTCGGCACTGGCATGAGAGAGAGCCAGCTCCAATCCCGGGGCTCCCCCCTCCTCCTCCAGCCACTGGCCTGGCCAGCAGCCCTGCCCACACCAACCAACCAAGCAGTGTGCACTGACCCTGTGGCCCCTGCTAATCATTGCAGGATTATTGGAGCCCTCGGGGAGCCCTGGGAGACCCCGCTGATTGGCCCACAGACATTCCAGGGCTGTGGATTAGAAAATGATGGCCGTGCCCTGGCCAGGACCGTGTCCTTCGGGCACACGGGAGCTTCTCCTCCCAGCCCCAGAGCAGGCAGGCAGGAACTGGGCAAGACCCCAAGGGAATTCTTCCCTTTCTTGGGAAGCTCGTCCCAACCCCCAGCCATGAATTAAACATAGACGGATGGTAACCACATACCAGACAGGTGCCACTGGTGGGTGGGGGCACTGAGGTGTTGGGTTTGTAGGGGAGTAGGGGCTAGGGTTGCACCTGTAGGCTGGAAAGAGTGCCTTAGGACTCTGGGCAGTGTGTGGGCAGTGTGGGGGGCTGGGCCTCAGCTCTATGCCCCCCGCCCCCCCCCGCCACGTGACTGCAGGCCAGAGAGGGCCAGGCAAGCAGAGGAGACCACGTGATGCCCTTGGCTGACTGGAGTCCTGCTGGGAACAAGTTCGACTCTAGACAAACTGACAGTATAGCAGGAGGGCAGCAGATCGCCGTGACGCTTTGGGGCCTGGCTGAGGCCTACACAATCCCACCAGAATAAATTGAAACAGATCTGCACTGTGGCCCACGTTTCTTAGAAAAGACAAGGCTATCCCGCAGGCCCTACCCAAATGCCTACAACCGCCTCAGGGGCAAGCAAAGGTTATTCAGCCAGGGCAGAGGAGAGCCTTGGAAGCCAACTACTTCCTCCTTCTGGAGCCTCTGTGACCTCTGACCTCTAGGCCAGCACCCTCTCAGAGCCAGGTGTCAACTTCTGGGAAACTCTGCTGAGACCCAAGTGGGCTTGGCTTTCTGAAGAGAAACACTGATGGAACATGCATGTCATGGCGGGTTGGGGCAGGGCCAGGCACAAGCGCCCCTAAGCTGGCCTGGAGTTGTGTGTCCCCCCACAGACTACCGGGGCCTTGAGTTTCTTCTCCCTCAAAAGGATGGTAGACAACCTCAGATTCATCCTGTCTGGATCCTAGCAATGTTTAATAATGGTGACCTTTTGGGTCGCCTGGGTGGCTTAGTCGGTTGAGCGTCCGACTTTCGCTTAGGTCATGATCTCGCGGTTCGTGGGTTCGAGCCCCGCGTCGGGCTCTGTGCTGACTGCCAGCCCAGAGCCTGGAGCCTGTTTCGGAGTCTGTGTCTCCCTCTCTCTCTGACCCTCCCCTGCTCACGCTGTCTCTCTCTCTTTCCTAGAAATAAATAAAACATTAAAAAAAATAACGGTGACCTTTTTCTGTAGAGCTTACAAAGCACATCCACACACGTGCGTTCACATAATTGTCACAACACCATGCAGTAGTAGATGCGGTGCCTGTCTTAAATGTGAGGAAGCCGGGCTCAGTATGTCTAAGGGACTCGCCCCTGGTCATCTGGCAAACACATGGAGTGTCCTAGCTGATCCAGGGTTTCTGTCTTCACATTCCTGACACTGGTGCAAATCTGCTTTAATTTACATCGTGGCCCTTTGAGTTCGATCCCCACAGCCCTGCTCTATGCCAGGTAACAAAACCCAATTCTTGCTCCTGGGCTTTCACGTAACATGTGTAACACATGCCAGGCACTTGGGACAGGTCAGAAAATATATTTTGAGGCCTGCGGTGGAGTGACTTTTAAGGGGCCCTGGCCCACTGCAGATGGAGGCCAGGGAGAGCCCAGCTTCAGAAGCTAGAAAAGGAGGAGCTGAGGCGATAAAACACCAGACTTCCGAAGGCCTGGGTTCTAACTGAGATACCCTGTGTGACCCTGGGACCGTCACTTCCACTCCTGGGCCTCAATGTCCAATGGTGTTAAGAAGTCATTTGTCTTGGTTTGCATGACATTTTGTCCTAGGTCCAGACTTTTTACAGGAGTCTGCTGAATATTTGGGGTGGGTTTTGAGAATGGGCACCTCCTTTCTTGAATGGCAGATCGCCCCAGCAAGCATCTTGTAGTCTGATTTCTATCACTGCAGATTAGTATTATTACTCTGAATTCCATATAAACCAGCTCCTGGGATATGCACCCTTCGAGGCCTAGACTCCTCTGTTCTCCATGTCTATGAGGTTCACCCATGCTGTGGTCTGGATCAGTAGGTTGTTTTGTTGTTTGTTTGGCTGGTAGTATTTCATTGTATTTCCATTCTCCTAATGATGGGCACTTGGGTTATTTTAAGCTTTTGTTTATTATGAATAAAGTTGCTATTGGGGTGCCTGGGTGGCTCAGTCGGTCAAGCGTCCCCTCTAGATTTCAGCTCAGGTCATGATCTCAAGGGGGTGATATGGAGCCCTGCATCAGTCTCTGTGCTGAGTGTGAAGCCTGCTTAGGATTCTCTCCCTCCCTTTCCCTCTCTCTCTGAACCTCCCCCTCCCTCTAAAAAATAAAATAAATAAAAAGGAATTTATTTTTAAAAGTCGCCTTCAACATGATTGTACAATTTAAAATTTTCTTTTGGTAAACACCTACAAAATTACCCAAATCAGGAGTGGCATATCATAATAACTTATACTAAAGAAATTTTTAAAAAGTTGTACAGGAATATTAAGAACAACTTTAGTCAATAAAATAGACAATGTAAGTATAATGGAAAAACTCCTAGAAAGACAAATTACTAAAATTAACTCAAGAATATAAGAAATTTGAAGAGACTGATCACAAGGAAAGAAATTGAATGAGTAAGGAAAAATCTTCTCAGAAAGAGGAGTTTAGGTTCAAATTGCTTCACTGCTGAGTCCTATCAAATATTTAAGGAAGGAATAATACCAATCACACATAAATGTTTCAGAAAGCAGAAATGGAGGAGTATTTCCCTGTAATACTCTTTCATTTTGTAATGAAATGAAACTCATTTCATTCTGTAATACAGAATTTCCCTTCATTCTGTAAGGCTGGTATTTTACTGATATCAGAGCAAGACAAAGATGTCACAAGAAAATAAAACTATATATCAGTATCATGAATATGGCATGAATACAGACACAAAAATCCTCTACAAAATATTGCCTATCTAGTAACATATAAAAAAGATTCAACACCATGACAAGGTAGGATTTATTCCAGGAATGCAAGGTTGGTTGAGCATTAGAAAGTCAGTTAATATGGGCGCCTGGATGGCTCAGTCAGTTAAGTGTCTGATTTACCATTCATGGGTTTGAGCCCCGTGTCAGGCTCTGTGCTGACAGATCAGAGCCTGGAGCCTGCTTCGGATTCTATGTTTCCCTCTCTCTCTGCCCTTTCCCTGCTCACGCTCTGTCTATCTGTCTCTCAAAAATAAATAAACGTTAAAAAAAATAGAAAGTCATTTAATGTAATAGAACAAAGGACAAAACCCACAGAATCATCTCAAAGACCCAGAAAAAGTATCTGATAAAATCCCAAACGATTCCTTGTGAAAATTCTAAACAAACTGGGAATAGAAAAAAAAAATCCTCATCCTGATAAAGGATCCTGTTATGGGCTGAAATGTGTACTCCTCCCAAATTCGTATGTTGAAGTATGAATCCTGGCACCTCAGAATGGGACTACATTTGGAGACAGAGACTTTAAAAAAAAATGCTATTTATTTTGACAAAGAAAGAGAAAGCATGAGCAGGGAGGGGCAGAGAGAGAGAGAGGGAGAGAGAGAGATCCCAAGCAGGCTCCACACTGTCAGTGCAGAGCCTGATGCAGGGTTCAATCTGACAAACCATGAGATGATGACCTGAGTGGAAATCGAGAGTCTGATGCTCAACCGACTGAGCCGCCCAGGTGCCCCAGAGAAGGAGTGTTTAAAGAGGTAATTAAGTTTACAGGAAGTCATGGGTGTGGGCCCTGACCCCATATGACTGATGCTCTTATACAAAGAGGAGTTAGGTTACACATAAACACAGAGGGGAGACCATGTGAAGACATAGAAGGCGGCCATCTATAAGCCTAGGAGAGAGACTTGCAGAAGAAACCAGTTCTGTTGACACCTTGATCTTGGCTTTCTAGCCTCCAGAACTATGAGTAAATAAATTTCTGTCATTTAAGCCACGCAGTCTGGTACCTTGTTATGACAGCCCCGGCAAACAGATATAGCCCCCGTGAAAATCCTACAGCAAACATCATACTTGATGGTGGAAGACTAAACACTTTCTAAGATTAGAAACAAGATAAGAATGTCTACTCTCACCGCTACTATTCAACAATATGCTACTGAATGTGTGATTAGTGCAAGAACAATAAAGCCATCCAGATGGGAAAGGAATAAGTAAAACTATCTTTCTTTGCAAATGATGCAATCCTATATGTAGAAAATCCTAAGGAATGTTTAAAAAAAAGCTCTTAGGGGCACCCAGATGGCTTAGTCGGCTGAGTGTCCAACTCTTGATTTCACCTTGGGTCATGATCCCAGGGTTGTGAGATTGAGCACCATGCTCTATGCTGAGCATGAAGCCTGTTTGGAATTCTCTCTCTCTTCCTCTGTCCCTGCCCCCTGCTCACATTTTCTCTCTCTGTCTCTCAAAAATTAAAAAAAAAATTTTAATTAAAAAACCCTACGAGAACAAAGTTCTCAAGATATAAAATAAATATACAAAATCAATTGTATTTCTACAAATTAGCAATAAACAATCCAAGATGGAAATTGAGGAAACAATTCCATGGGCAGCGGCATCAAAGCAAATAAGACATGAACACATAAGACTATAAAACATGGCTAAGAGAAATTAAAGGAGGTCTAAATAAATGGAGAGATGTTTCACATTTATGGATCAGAAGACTCAATATTGTTAGCATGGCGATTGTTCCCAGATTCATCTA